TCTCTCTGTCTCTCTTTATTTAATTATATATATAATTCTTGTTTCTCAACCCTCCAACTATTTTTCCCCCGCATCCCCCACCCCTCCTCGTCCACACCCCCCCAATTCTATACAGTTAGGTTTACAGTTTTCACCGGCCTTCACTTCTTTCCCTCCAGTTTCCGGAGAAAAAAATCATCACCATAGAGTAACCCATCTAAAAAGTGCATCGGCAATCATGGTTCTTCATTTTTTCCGCCGGATGCTGAAAAACAAAACAACAATAACAACAACTACAACAAAAAACCCAACCCTATTACTTCTTTCCTATTTTGCCCTGGTGTTCCCATCACTCATCCGTTCATGTTTTTCCAATACGTTTCTGTGAGTCTCGTTTGCCAGAGATACGTCATGATAATACCAACAAGTCGATAATGATTATGTCAACGAACAAATTGACAAACAGCTGATTCCACTATACCGTGACACAAACCTGCTTATTATAAAATAATTCATTATACTGCAATTATAAAACTCATTATTATTGTAATTAGAAACTTATTAAATTATAACTTATCAAACTCATTATACTATTGCAATGATAAAATTCATTATATTGCAATGATAAAATTTGAAATATCGTTACATTGCATAATTTTCTGTTTCAATATATATCCCCCTACCCACTCCAACCCACCCCACCTCTTCCACATCCATCCCCTTGTTCTAGAACCCTCTCTCTGACGGGGTGTGGATCTCCATCATCTGTGGATTCTTCGGTGTGAGTGTCGTCCTGTTCTTCGTGGGTCGCTTCAGTCCTTACGAGTGGGCGGCGGTGCCAGGGGTGAAGGACGGGCGACATAGGGCCAAGCCGGCCTTCAGTTTGGCCAACACTGTGTGGTTTGCTCTAGGCGCGCTCATGCAACAGGGGTCCGATATATACCCGAGGTGAGTACGTACATACATACATGCAGACAGATAAATAGACAGACACGCACACAAGCCTTCAGTTTGGCCAATACTGTGTGGTTCGCGCTCTGAGTGCTCATGCAACAGGGGTCCGAAAAATACTCGATCTGAGTACATACACACAGACACACACATACTTACACATACACACACACACCCACACACACATGCATACACACATTCACACACACACAGATAAACAACGGGAGAGAGAGAGAGAG